GGGTTGAACTTTAGTCCCAAAAGACGCAAGAACCTTCATTGGGGGGGTGCTACCATTCACCGTTGGTGATAATTTAGGATCATCTCGTTAATGTTGGAAAATTACTAGCATATTTTTTGAAGTATTAAAAAATACAAGTCAGTCCCCCCCACCACCACTACCATGAGACTGTTTGGGCTTAGATCAGATGAGAGATCGGCTACCAAGCTGTGGACATCTCGTTCGTTGGTCGTGCCACCCATACACTATGGTATCATCTGCATAGATATTTATTAACGATCTGAGAATGTTCTTAATCAGATCGTTAATATAAAGAAGGACCTGTGTAGGACTTAGTAGTCAGCCTTTTGGGACGTCTGAATCGATATCATAGCCCTCACAAGCCTGGTCATTGACAACAATATTCAAGGAACTACCTGATATGAAAGACTTGGTGATTGCGAAAACTCTTCTAGTTATAGCTGGAGAGTTTGTGTAGGAAGCCCCTATGTCACACCTTGTCAAAGGCCATTGAGATATTTGGGATATTTTTTCCAGATATTTAAAAGTTTAAGTTGAGACACAAAAAGGAAGATGCAGAAAGTAATAAAAGAAAGCGAGAAGAAAGGACTAAAACCACAAATGTAAAATGACAGAATGTCATGTTGTCAGCAAAAGAAACAGCTGGACATGCAAATTACTAACTGGAGATGCAACAATTAAACAAGTGCAAAAATTTATATATCAGAAAGCGCATTGGAATAGCGAAAAATACTTTCTAAATGTTAAGCAAAGTATTAAGAAACAGGAAAATTTAATTAATATACAAACAAAAGAGTACTGATATATTATGTAATATTAGTACTCCCATATAGCAGTGGATGTTGGAATATCTAATCACAGATAGAGAAGAGACTTGAGTCAACAGAAATGTGGTTCTACAGAAGGCTGCTGAGAATAGAATTGACTAAACACGTAAGTAGCGCCGAAGTTTTAGAGAAAATAGAAACATATGTAACATCAGAAAGAGGCAGTTGAAACTTCTTGGGCTCATAATGAGAAGAGAGAGCTTGGAAAATTTGACACTCACAAGATATAATGAAAGCAAGAGAAGTAAAGGAAATCAGTGCATAACCTAACTAACGTGCTTATACAAATGAATGGCTGAAGAGAGATTAGAAAATATAGTAAAAAAATAAAACTTTACTAAGGACAGGAAGTTGTGGAGAGCCATGAGCTCCTATGTCACAAAGGGACATGGAACATAGAAGAAGCTTAGTTTGGAACATGATTCGTTTTCTATGATTTATCAACTCTTTGCATGTTATTTAAATCCAGAAAATATTTTTAGATTTTTAAGAATTTTTTAAGATAATAATAGTTTAGTCTTACTAATTAACCTATAGTTGGGGGGAAGGGGTGGATTCATACCTTCCCGAGGAGTATTTTTCGTGGACGTGAACATAACGAACCCAATGAGAATTGTAACTCGGCTCTCCGATTAACAATACCTGATATTCCCAAGCGGCCACCCATCTAGGTACTGACCAGGCTCGACATAGCTTAACTTCGGTGATCATAGGAGAACCAGTATTTCAAGATGATATGGCTGTAAGTGTAATTTGGAACATGGCCACATAGGGAAATGTGAAGAATGCGCTGTGTCAATTTTTCAAGTGGAGAGAACCTGCTACCATAAAACTTCAATAGTCAAGTAGACGCCATATCTTTTAAGATAAATATATACAAAACGGGCTGGCTTCCGGCTGAACAGCAACTCTTATCTTGTTTGTGTTGGAGCACATTTGGATTTTGAAAATGTCCAGAAAACCTTCAGCATAAGATGTTGCTTTCCGATTTAAATGCAACCGTTTCAGATACTCCACAAAAGAATATATATCTCATAATTTCTCTCTCTAACAGAATAACATCTTTAACATCTCTTAATATCAAGTTCATTAAGTTTTCATAAAATATTGTTAAATTGTTTAAATCATTGATTAAAAGCTCTAGCTGGAACATAGAAATGGCCAATCCCTTTTTCATGTCAATATGTGTATATATTTCAAATTTATATATTGCTACCACTGGTTAACTAATTTGCCAACTTCTAAAATCCGAAATGTATAGGTAGTGTAACAACTAGAGAATCGGAAATCGGTGGACTAAGTTCGAATTCAGGCTGAGTTTGTGACATTCACTTTTGTATAAATAGCTTTCAGAATCCATTTATTCTCTATAGGTTAAATAGTGGGGCTGACTGGGATATTTTGCTTTGAGTGTGGGGAGAAATATAACAGAAAGAAAGCCCTAATTTAAAACCAATCAAAAGAAAGACTGGCTCCGTCTTATACTAGGCACGCCATTGTTGCATTACATGTGATGCTTCTATGATACGGGAGACGTGACGTGAAAATCCGCAATATATTTGTGATACGGAACATATATCAAAATTTAATCTTTTATTTTTTGTTTATTTTTAAAGATTAGTTTTGTTTAGTAGGCTTTGCGGGTATTAATATTAGTCATTTTTTTCATTTCATCCTAATAAACTCCTATCTCGACCACTATAGTAATTTTTTAACAGCAGCACAAACTCTTAAGCAAAGTATGTAACGGATCAATTTTCTGTAATACCAGAAGCTGATACAATTCAATACGAAGGATTGTTTGAAAGTTTAGCATTTAAAGAAACAGTCCTGCATATGCTTCATATGCTTTTAAATTATCTCTAATCAAAGGATTATTTGGCGCTACATCATCACTATGCGTCATTCAGTCAGTTATGTGCAATTCGTGATACACGCTTAGGCGATCATGTATCTTCTAACGAGGCAGATTTTTTTCCTGTAGTAAGTTGCCATTTCTTTCTGCGGTAGACCAGTTGCTATCCAAGACTATAGAACTCGATCTGTCCTGCTATTTACCCATAGCTGGTGGGAGATTAGAATTCGAACTCTGCTGTCCGATTTCTCAATCTGAGTCGCTATCCATTACGCCACCGTGCCTCCTGTGTGTCATTAAAGATCTATTATTTCATTTTGATCACTTTATTTATATGCTTGTAAAATCTGAGATACACAATGGTCTAAATAATTCCTAAGAAATTGCAGATGGAAAATAACGGTGTGCTTTAGGCTGTAGACGCAATAAGACAAAAACAAAATGAGATCAAGAGTGCCGCCCTCTAGTGGTGGATCATTGCAAAGCTGAATAGCAAGGCCAAAATTCGAGCTTTTCGTAGGCAAGCCGCAGATATACGCAGCTGACAAGCCACGCAGCTGTTCAAATTGAAGGCAAAATAAATCAAATCCCTGAACATCTTCTATTAACTTTTCCAAAAACTCGTCTCCCAAAAGCAACGTGCTCTCTCCAAAAGCACTAAGTTCAAAGTTGATGTCACAGAGTACGTGAAGGAAGAAAACTCACATTCCTAACGAATAAGTAATATATTAATATGTATCAAATATTTGAAATAAGATTTAAAACGGTAAATAGCTTTTAAAAATCAAGTGTTTACAAATGTATAGAGACATTGTATAAATATATGCAACCTTATATTTGTTGTTCAGCTCAAGAATAAAAGTAATGTCTTCAGATAGAAGCATATGTAATGACAGGGGACTTCTTTACGGTTGAGTATATTTCCCACTAGTATTCTAGTATTCTTGATAAAAGTCATTAGGTTCACTGCTTGTTTTTAAGGCAGGCAGGAACTCACCATATGTAAAGACAGAAGCTCCCTGTTTCGTCCCACAGCATTTGGCATTATGCCGTTTATAACAATAAACAGTAGTTGTCGAATGGCTCAAATAAACGGGTAGATATGATAAATTGTTCCGACACACGCTTTTGCATGTTGAAATTCTCACAGTATTTAGTATTGTTGAAGTTATCGGGAACATTTTTTCTCGGGATTTACAAGCTCTACATATTGGAAAAATGTCGAATTATAAATAAATCGATTCATTTTTTTTTAAGGATATATATATATATATATATATAGAGAGAGAGAGAGATAGATAGATAGATAGATAGATAGATAGATAGATAGATAGATAGATGTGTGTGTGTGTGTGTGTGTGTGTGTGTGTGTGTGTGTGTGTGTGTGTGTGTGTGTGAACAAGTACGAAAATTTTTATCTTGATTTCTGACGAATCTTTAATAAAGTGAAACATCTTAGATTGAGATCTGTTTCCGACTCGTCCTTTATCCCGTACTTTTATCTGATTTCTATATTTGATCTTCTACTTATATATATATATATATATATATATATATATATATATATATATATATATATAAAAGGTAATAAATCTGTTGGTATATAATTCAAATGGAAACTAGTAATATAAAATATTAAATTATAAGTAAAAATATTATTAAATTCAATATTCCCCATATGAAGTGATTTGGGATTTTATTATATATATATATATATATAAATTACATATAAATGAAATTCAGAAAGCCCCCATCTGTATGGCCATTTCGTTCTGAAAGAAAAATTTACTTCCGGAGCTTGTCAACATTAAAAATGTTTTAATATTTTATATTATTAGGATTCACTTAACAGCGGACTTTTTACACACACACACTCACACACACACACACACACATATATATTATTCTATGTGTCCATGTATATCCGTGTGTATTAAGCTCTTTCTCTATATATGGAAAGAAATATAGTTATAATATATTTACAGATGTGTGAGAGAGAGAGAGAGAGAAAGAGAGAGAGAGTGTGTGTGTGATAAAGAGGCAATGGATTACTGAGGGTGAAAAGCAATGCAGTAAAATAATCTGAAACAAGATAACTGAGAAGAAATGAAATGAACATGTTAATAATGAGTAAATGTTAGGGAAAATGAAAAACCAAACTAACACGTCTACTTAGAATCTAAGATCGATAGTTGAAAATTCTTGGGCACATAATGAGAAAAAAAGGCTTACAGAGTATGACACTCACAAGACATACCGAAGACAAGAAGAACAGAGGAAAGCAACGAATAATCGACCTAACAAGCTTGTGTAATTGGTTGGCAGAACAAGGTTTAGGAGAGATAGCAAATAGACAAACGTTATTTATTAAGGGCTACAAAGGACCTATATGATTTCTCACATTCAGAGGAACCTTGGCACATAGAACTTCGGGACAACTGTATCGGAGGTCTACCTATATTTGCATCTTACCAAAGCAACATGTATATAACTTTCACCTAGACACGAACACAGATATGCAGTGTCCCCTTGGGACGTAGGCGATCATGACTCTCCATAATTTCCTGCTTTTTGTATCTCTTAATAAATTTTGTATTTTCGTTATTTCCCTTAAACCTTGTTCCGCCATCCATTTACTCAAGCTCGTCAAATATGTTTCGTGCCGTCCCCTCCCCCCCTTGCCCTCAATCTGTCCTGTGAGTATCAGATTTTCCATTCTTTTTGTTTCCATTTTCTCTAAGTCGTTAATCACATGTTCGGTCCACGGTATCCTCAACATCCTTCTATAGAACCACATTTCTTTTGCCTTAAGTCTCTTCTTCATCTTTGAGGAGATTGTCCAGCATTCATTGTCATATAGGAGGACAGATATCACGTAACAGTTCAGTAATCTTTCCATTGTTTCTAAAAAAAAAAGAAGTTTTTCCTGTTTCTTAATCTTAGCATTTGGAATGCATCTTTGGTATTCCCATTTCAATGTTGCACTTTCCGTTTTCTGTTAGATAATATCCCAGATATTTAAATTGTTGTACTTGTTTGATTTTGGTATCTCCAATTTGTAAGTTGCATTTTGGGCTGTTCCTTTTTTGCTGACAAACATGCATTCTGCCTTCTTGCGGTTAATGTTTAGTCTTTTGCTCTCACTTTCCTTCAATACCTTCTGTAGGAGCTTTTGTAGTTTTATTTCTGTGTCTGCTATCAACACTGTGTCATCTGCATACCTTATGTTGTTAATCTTGTGGCCACCAATCCTGGTAGGACATCTAATTCTTTCAGCACTCTGTGGAAGATATTTACAAGAACATCACTCAACTGTATTCACTGAATTCTTTCGTCATATAAATATCATTTCATAATATAGTGACGGGTTGCAGGAAGTTGATATATTCGCCAAATTCTAATCTGTTTATTATGATGATTAGGATTAATTTTTGAAATAAATTCCAAGTGTTTTTTGTTTGTCTAACTTAATCTAGGAGCAAAAACTAAAAGTTGTTTTCTTAATATTTGAATTAAATTCAATTACCTTTCGTCTATACCAGTAAAGGTGGATATTAATATATTTAGAATATGCAGACAAATGTTATTAAATAAAGCCCTACAACTTTAATTGGCAATGTTACAATTGCAAATTTATTTGAATGCAATCAAGAGACATTTGCGAGAAAATATTGACAAAAATAACGAGAAAAATTATTATCAGTAATAGTAGCTGCATTATTAGTAGTAGTGGTATTAGTAGTAGTAATATTCTCCCGAATTAACATATTATTTCATTAATCATTACTTTTCATTATAAGAATTAGTAGTAGTAGCAGCAGCAGCAATAGTGCAAGGTGATGTTTATATCTTCACCTTTGAACTGCTGACTCATTGTACGGGGCGAATTTAAGTCAACCTGTCCATAACATCAACAGCTAATGGCGGAATTAAATTTGATTTTTCTTACTCACAAAGACAAGATCTCCACACACCAACCAAGTTATCAAAGACATCACTGGGTCAGTCGTTAAAATTTTTGAAAAAGTATTTCTTTGTTTATTTTTTTCTTTGTTTTCTTTTGATATTTTCATCATTTTTATTTGTTTCGCTAGACTTTGACTTGTACTTTTTCCTCTTACAAATATTTAAAAGTTTCCTTTAATTTATTTGACTGCTAAATTGTTTGTTTTTCTTTTCTTAACCTTCTCTATTTTGCAGTTTCTCTTACTTCTACTCCTCGGTCCTGCTACCTCCGCCACCTTCACTTCACATTCCAATTTCTTTGCTATTATTTCCCCCCCTCTCTCTTTCTCTTTCTCTCTCTTTCTCTCTCTTTCTCTCTCACACACACACATTGGTTTCTTCAGTTCCTCTTTCACAACTCTTCCTTTCTTCCTTCTAATGTTTCTTCTTGTTTCTTTCCTTACCCACTTTCCTTCTAACACTTCATCCTTTCTCAACTCTCTTCACCCTCTTTCTATTACGCTCCGTTCTTTTTTCTTCTTTATCCTTACTCAATTCTTTTTTCTTCTTCATCTTTCCTCCATCTTCTCTTTTTCTTACCTTTTCTTTGTGCTTATTTTTAATCTTTCTCCTCCTTCCTTTTTATACTTCTTCTTTGATTTTGCTCACGACTTCTTCACCTTTTCTTCATCCACCTCTTTCTATGTGCTTTCCTCTTTCTCCTACTTACTTTTAATCCTTCTCTCATTCTTCTTCTTTAATATTTCTCCACTTTGCTTTTTCTCCTTCTTGTTTGTTTTGCTCACACTACTTTCTCCATTCTTCATCTTTCTCCACCTCCTTCTTCTATGAGCTTTCCTCTTCATCCTTCTTCTTTAACCTTTCGTCATCCTTCTCCTTTAATGTTTCTCCACCTTCCTTTTTTTCCATATTTCTTTCCTCACATTTCTTTCATCTTTCTTCAAACTCATCCACCTCTCATTTATTCTTTCCTCTTTGTTTTTATTTTTCCTTTACCCTTCCTTTTACTTTATGCTCTCCTCTTCCTCCTCCTTTATCTTTTCGTCATCTGCCTTCAGTTCATCCTCCATTTTTATCCTTTCTTCAACAACATTTATGTTTTCCTTTATCCTCACTTTCTCCTTGCTACTTCTTTTTCTTTATTTTTGGTCACTTCCCTCATTCTTTCCTTTTTCTATCTCATTAATTCTTCTTCCAAAAAACATTATATTTCTCACTTTCTCTTTTCTTTCCTATTTTCTTCTTTCCTCTTTCTCATCCACATCTTTTTCTAATCTTTTTCGTTATCCCTCGCCATCTTCCTTTCTTTTTCTCATCCTTGCTCCATATTTTATCCATATTATTTCTTCTTTTTCCCATTTTTCTTCTTTTCCGCACTTTGTCTAATCGTCTTTTGATCACTGAACTTTTTCATGCACTTGATTTTTTCCCTCTTATCTTTACTGTTTTTTTATTCTATTAATCTTTCATTTCATCTACTGACCTTCGTCCTTCATTTTCCTCATTCTCTTTTTCTCATCTTCTTTTGTTTTTCCTTTGTTTTTTACTCTTCATGCATATCATCAACATCATCTTCCTCCTTCTTCTTCTTCTTCTTCTTCTTCTTCTTATTATTATTATTATTATTATTATTATTATTACGATACTCATTCCACGTTTCCATTTGGCCTTCTCATATGTTTGCATTGCGTCGTCCTATTTTCTCCGGTTTTTAATTCCAAACCGGAAGTCTATCAGCCATTATTCTCGTTTGAAGATCAAAATTGGACTCGATTTAACGGTCGCTCTTGAGCGACTCAAAGGCGCCAACGTCTGTGATCCCGATCGATGGCCAACTGACCAGAAACAAGGACAAACAGTCAACTGATTTCACTAATGACTTCACAGCCTTTTGTTATTGTTCTTTCAATTTGTTTTCTTCATTTCTTTTCGTAAAGTCTGTCTATAAATTCCAAAATATAGAATAAATATGGCCGTGATTTCTTATGGCTCTATTCTGCGAGTTTCTCATTAAGACTGCTCCCGTTCAAGTGTCTATACCTAATGCAATAAGAAAAAATTCACTCTGACGGTCGGTGATATAAAAATGACCCAGAATATTAGAAAAGAATAGACTCTTACGTTAGGGTAAATGTTTGAACATTATCTCTTATTTTTGGTAACTTATGGTTTTCTTTTCCACTCATGGTTAATTTCAGATGCTCTTTATTGTTTGCATTTTCTCGTTCATTCAATATTTCCGTAGTTTTCTTTCATTGTCGAGTTTGACTTACCGTATTTGCCCTCAAGAATCACTCTACGTATTAGCATTGGAAGGTCAAGTTGTAGAGATTAGTTTGCGAACCCCAGTCACGAGATCCAAGCACTCATCAACCCCAGACATATAATATGATCCTACAATAAATATCGTATATTACGTTAGTATCATATATATATATATATATATATATATATATATATATATATATATATATATATATATATATATATATATTGTTTTTTCGAGTATTGATGATAACCAGTACGCAGCTGCCTACCAGTACTGTAAGGTATCCTGTACGGCATCTTCACAAACCCCAACCCAGTCACTTAATACAGGCTGACAGTTACATTTCATACGGACACCAAGAATTATTTCTTCTTTTTATGTACGTGCCTTTTCAGGGCGTAAGCGATTATGACTCTCCACTTCCTCCATCCCTTGTAGCTCTCAATAAGTTTTGTCCCTCTGTCACCTCCCCCACACAACATTCTGTCATCCACTTGCTTAAGTCCGCTAGGTATGTCATGCGTTGCTTTCCTTTGTCTCTCTTTCCTTATGTTTGTCCTGTGGATATCAGATTCTCCAAGCCATCCTTTCTCATTACATGGCCCAGAAACTTCAGCTGCTTCTTCCTAATGTTAAGTATAAGCCTCCTCCTTGTTTGCATCCTCTCCAAAACCTCATCGCTGCTCACATCCTCGGCGTCCTTCTGTAGAACCATATCTCCGTCGCCTCAAGTCTCTTCTTCATCTTTGAGGAAATCGTCCAACATTCGCTGCCGTAAAGGATGACAGATGTCACTTAACAGCTCAGTAATTTTTTCTTTGTTACCAGAGAAATCCTCCTGTTTCGCAATACTCTGCCCAGTTTTTGGAACGCTTCCTTGGCCATCCCAACACGTCTAGAGATCTCAGTGTCTTACCGTCCTCTGTCAAAACACTTCCCAAATATTTAAACCTCTGCACCTGCTTATTTTAGTGTTCCTAACCAGCAAATCGCATTTCGGGCTCCTCCTTTTACTGATGACCATGCATTCTGTCATCTTGTAGTCTATGCTTAGTCCCTTCTTATCGCTTTAGTTCTCTACCTTCTGTAGGAGATTTTGTAATTTCTTTTCCGTGTCTGCTATCAGTACTGTGTTATCTGCGTATCTATGTTGTTAAAATTGTGGCCGCCGATGCTGAATCCTGGCAGGGTTTCCAATTCTCTCAGAATTGCCTCGCAGTATAGGTTGAATAGGTACGGTGAGAAATCAAATCCTTGCCTTACGCCCCTTTCTATTTTTCTATATTCGCTGAACTCGTTCTCTATGCGTATGCATGTTGTTTGCTGCCACTATAGGTTCTTGGTTATTCTAATATATTTCCCAAATATGTCAAAGAAACATCAGATGGGAATTGGAGGTAAAGATGCCGTGTATTAAGACGCCTTGTGGTGGCAAGTACGCGTTGTTTCTGACATGAATTGCGATAAAGTGTGTGCTAAACTTTTGAAAATCTAATTAATAAAACTAAAAATATTTAATAATGGGTCCAAAATGTGAAAATTTGTTGTGACAGAAAGAAAAATGACATCGTAAAGTTGACGACTTGCACTTGCTACTACAGTAAGCTATTAAATCCTCAACTATTTCCCGCCCAAAATACCTAGCATATTATATTTTCTAACAAAATTTGGACTATTTTGTTTTCGGTCAGTAAGGGTTATTTACTAATTATTTCTGTCTATAAATCAAAATAAATGACTACTATTCCCTTCCAACGTTGAGATTGTGATCTGGACATCGATGTTTTGAAACTAACCTATTTTCTATTCCAGAAAGATTCAGCGCTGAGTTGCTTAACGAGAATTTTCTAGAACTCTCGAAAAGTTTGAAGAATTTGGATGGAAAGTTTTATGAATATATATATATATATATATATATATATATATATTGAACAATAAAAAAAATATTAAAAAATTAAAGTCTTCAGACACACTGGGTTGTAGATTAATATTCTTTCGTTTTTTTATTATTATTTCATTTAGATTCCTCGACTAGTTTCGGCCAAAATGGCCATCATCGGGAGGAGAAATGTTTCTGCTTGCTGGTAGCAGTAAACTACAGAAATAATGTCTTGCTGGAGAAAATGAACTTTTGTCTGTAGTTTTCATTTGTTTTTTTTTATTTTTTATCTTTTTAACATGAATCTTAACATTCCATGTGTTGGTCAAACAGTCTCTTTTAAGTTGTTATTTGAGATAAGAGCTGGATACATCTATGCTTCTCTGAATTCCCGTGGTCAGTTTTACAGTTTTATTGGTCCTGGAGAGGGGATGTGTCTCTGTTAAGTGTGTGTGTTATTTGGTACTTAGGGAGTGAGTGAGTATGATATGTGTAAGCGTGTGTATTGCTGTGGGTGGGTGTTATCATTTGGCTCATTAGGGAGTGAATGAGTATGATGTGTGTAAGTGTGTATATTCGTGTGGGTGTGTGTATAAGTGTGAGGCCTCAACACCTCCGTACGCATGTCTGTCTTGTGTGGATATATATATATATATATATATATATATATATATATATATATAGTTGTGTATTTGAGCTGCAATCCCTCTTTATTACATGTTATTGAACAAGACTAACAAGGTATATTTTGTCTTCTTTCCCTGAATTTAATAAATAAAAATTACCCAAATGTTATCAATTTTCAAGTATTGTTTTTATTATATATATATAGATAAATATATATATATATATATATAGAGAGAGAGAGAGAGAGAGAGAAAGAGAGAGATAGAAAGAGAGAGATAGAAAGAGAGAGTGAGAGGAGAGAAACACAAGAAATAAAATTCCTGATAAAACTCTTTTGAAGGTTTCTCACTAGACACTATCGTAAGGTGTTCAATCAACATTCCTTGACTATATATATATATATATATATATATATATATATATATATATAATAGCTGGCCATTCGTATTCCAGGATACCCGTCTACTAGGTCGGCTAGCCAATCCCTATTGCAGACACTCGCTTAGATAGATTTGAGTTTGCTCAACACCCACAGAGCCCACTTGTGGTTTATACTGCAAGTATGCTGAGCAGACCTTAGTTACAGTTTCTGCGAGATAGCGTGTTATCTAGCGTCGTCACCAATTTGAACAAGAACAGCACGTTCAAGCCCTTGGCCACGATGACTTGTAGTTTCGTGCTAGGACAGCTATCAACAAGTGATATGGTTTTCAGGCACTTTCCAAAGGTGCCGCACACTGGGATCCAGTCCGATATCATCAGAAAGTCGCCTTCCTGACAAATCGACCATGGTCAGATTCAAACCCGGGTCTCATGGTCAGAAAGTGAACGTTCTAACACACACACACACACACACACACACACACATATATATATATATATATATATATATACATATATACAGAGAGAGAGATGAAAAAATATAGTTTTACGGTATGCTATATTTATGGCTTAAAGTGCTCAATATCATCGATAAAGCGTATTTAAATATAAAAATTGGGATTGATGCTTGTTTTATTGTTATACTCAATCGTCAGACCATATGCGTTTTGTTTT